GAGGGAAGAACCAAAAAGGTAGTTCGAGTCCCACTTTGCACGCATCGTTGGACAGAAGCCAAACTTGTGGAGCTATCTTCCCTCCGTACTTTCAGTATGCTTTCGCTTCGGTGAGGTGCTTTCCTGCCGAACCAGTCTGGCACCTCCTGATCACTAAGGAGAAGCGAAGGGTTTGGTTGGACTGCACAAGAGAATAGCCGAGGCCGTAAGCATAGCAAGTGATGCCTCACCAGGGTTAACCATCGCCTTCGCCCTTTTCTAAAAATTCTGCAACCCCTCACCATGAGTCTTGGGCTTTCGCTCAATACAGCACCTCTTCCCCCTACCGTGACCGCCACCCTTACCATCATGGCTGTTTCTATAGTATTTGATTCTGAGACCACTCGACACACCCAACTCCGCCCATTTTTTCCCTCCAAAACGGCCGTCGACCCCCGCGGGGGGGGGGATGGGGTGCTAACCATCAATTACAAACTTCTTTTTACTACACCTGTTTACACTTTTCCCAAAGGTAGCTAACATAGCTCAACCGCGAAATAGGCCCGCCTTTCAAAATCACAAATGCGACCCCAAGTCGTTCGAAAAATTGGCCGTGCGCCACACATCCTTACACCACCTCCTCCCACAAAATCACTACTGTTGGTACTAGAGTGATTCATGGTGTTTTGGTTGACCCATTTGCATCTGCGAAGTAGTCACTGATCTGAAGCTTCTTAATATTGAACGATGGTGCACCTTGAATTGTAGCTACCCGTGAGAAAACAAATGAGTTTAAAGGTACGGCAATTTTTTTGCTGTGTGTGGCGTCCTACTTTCCACAACTTTTCAAACGATCGAGTTTATCGCTCTCTGATCATATTTTATACAGCAGCAAGTTCTCGGTCTACTCTACTGAATTCAGGTATTATGGAATGAACCGCGTGGAGGAGCAGAGTGTGGCAGCGATTTTGGAAGCAGCACAGGGTATGGGAGTTGAGGTCAAAACGAACTTACGAGAACTGGCCAGCGAAATCGCCAGCAAACTAAATGATAAAATTGCCTTCGAACCAAATCATCCAAGTAAGCTGCTCTTCTTATTTATTTATTTCCGAACTTTACAAAAACTAAGTCGATCGTCGTCCAAATAGTAAAAAATAAACCAACCTAATGCGAGCTACATGCAGTATTCTTTGCGACGGACTCACAGTATTACTCAGCAAGGTATTTGAGAAGCATACGTCAGGCTGCCAAAGCTGACCATTATCTCTAATGCGTACGAATGAGATCTTCTACCTAAAGCAACACCCCGGATCGATTTTGTGGTTGATAAGGTGTGAGGTGTGGATGCCGAATTGCGAAGCAAAGAGAACCGTTGATGAAGCACAAATTCTTCCTTGGAACAAGGAAGGCAGGAGCAGCGGCGAGTTGTACCGAATTTTCCCTGCTCTGGCGGCTCGACAACCCGGGCGTAATTGAATTAGCCGCTACACCATCTGTGATCCACACGATCCTGCCTCCTCATGTTGTGCGCTACGTAACTCGTCCAAATGCTGATTTTGTAAGACACTAGCGCCATTGTCGCAACTTTCTAACCGAGAAATGGCACATATGTATGTATATGCTAATTATGGGTTACTTACCCAAAGTACTGAATAGATTCTTCGACAGAGCAGACTTCCCACCTGCAAGGTACGGGCGAGGTTGCTTCAAGTCCATAAAATATTTACTCTCAGCCTCCAATGATCAGGCACAGTTGAATTTTCTAAATACACTTCGATTATAGTTTGGTGCCTGTATATTGTCATTCTTATGTGAGTTGAGCGTGTTTCAGATTTCGCTTATTCAATTCGTGAACCGATTTTCAACGCCACGTACAAGCGCACGCCAGTGCGCGGATTCGCTCGTCGAATTCGCCTGAAGTCAAAGTGTTCAAAAGGTTTTCTGGTTCTCGACGGGGCCACGAAAATTCCATTCAACAGCGGCACTGAAGTGCTTCTGGAGATCAATGAGGCCGATTCTCTTCGAACAATCACTTTTGTAGTCAGGGATCTACTGGCAATTTCCTCTTAGCAAGCCCAGAACCCATGTGTCCCATTTTTCCTAGATGATCACCACTGAGAAATATATTGTAATCGAATCTATCATTTCCTAGCTACCTTCTCTCGTCCTTCTCACTTATTCTGGATGGCATCAGCCAACTCAAAGAAATAACTTGTCTCGTTTTTTATGCCTTTAGCATAATATACTCGATTTAATTATTTCGTACCATCGCGATTTGATAGGTCATTATTTGTTTGTATTATTTGGAACGTATCGCCTTGAACTCGTCTACGCGGTCAGTTTTTATTCAAAAGCCACATGATGTATACATTAGAAACGTTTCATTGTTAATACTCGATTTTAAAATGATCACTTATTTTCTGGGACATTCCGCTCTCCCTCCTTTGTTCATTTCAAGATGTCGGTTTTGACATTCACGACATACAAATCGGAAACAGTTGTGTTTAAAATAATATAATAAACATGTATGTATTTATTTTAGTGATATTTGGTTAGTTTAGTGTTTTCAATGGAATTGATTTCAAGTTTTGTAGACTTGTTCACACTCGTTTTGCGGTTTAATTGTCAGTCAGGGGGAGGCGCTTGCAGTGTGTCACTGCAATGCGTTGAAAATCACGAAAAACACATTGCTTTTCATTGTAACATTTAGGTATTAACCTTGGAGGAGGAAGGAGAGACTTCGGATCCGTGGCAATATCCATTTTCACTATAAGTCTTTCTCTTCCTGGGTTTGGTCCTAGCTGCTCACTAGGTGAGTGTTAGTTCATAGACGTCGTATAACTTCCAGCCACACAAAACCAACCTCAAACTACTAATTTGGAGAGGTCATCAGGACTAAGGTTGGTCCCGTAAGTAAATAAATTTTAAAGGACTCCTTGTGTAAAACTGCTGGAAGCCACAACTGCGCTCTGCAAATACCCTGCCCGATGAGAAACCCTTTGTTCTTTCAGAATTTTGTAATTTTGGAATGATTTTTAATGCTTTTGCCGGCAATGCTACCTTTTCGCGTTAACATGACGTAAGGGCAAGAAGCTCCGGTCGGCATTTGCATGATCAGGTCACCAAAACATGCTCAGACCAGAAAATATCAGCCGGGGCTGATAAGGGGATGGGGTAAAAACTGTTCTATGACGTCATCTGGAGCAACGAAAACATTGCATTGACCTAGTGGATGTGTGCACATAGCAAAAGCTTAGCCAGTCCTAAAAAAAAGTTGGGTCCCACCATGATTCTGAATGGAAATCGAATGAGCGTCTAGGAAAGGCCGTGGAGAATTTTCATCTCACCCTCAATCAACCAGTTTGTATTTTTACCTGAGCCTTTTGAATATTAATGTGGAGGTGTAACTCAGTGCTTTGGTTACATTAAGAAATTTCCATTTAGTCAATATTTTTGTAATTTTTGGGAAAGGTGATGCTAACCTTCGGGACAATCCGGACATATAGAGTATATCGCTATATTTAAAATATAAAATACACGATAAAATATAGTTTCAAAATGTGTATTGTAACGAACTTCCTTGCAATGCATCACGTGTTCACTCAACATGCTAGATTTTCTAATCCATTTTCGGTCAACCCTTTCTATATCTTACTATAACCACAACTGGAAGTCACACTTTGGCTAGCAGAACTGAGTGAAAAGTGAAGCATTGGAGAAACATGAGACCCAATAAAAGCACGTATTTATTTGATAGGCCGGAACTGTTAGAGTCATTGAAGGTAGTGAACACCATGAGCTGAAGGGTGGACCGGTTTTGATGACACCATTGGATGTTATGGGTAGACCAGGTCCCTCAGCGGGCTGGAGAGATGCGAAGCTCACGAACAAGAGGCAGCCCATTTAGAATCAAAGTAGAGGTGGTCCGAGTAGCCGGGATGAAGAAAACCATGAGAAACGGCCCAGAACCCGAGAAATGGGACCCCTTCCTTGCCCGTTGATTTCCGCATTGATGCGACTCTCATCGTGCTGCCCTCTTCAACGCTAACGCTCTCTCTGCTAAACGGCTAGAGACCTGCGGCGAGTGGTTAGCCAGTCGGTGGGCGTACCGCGCCGATAGCGCCGCAAGGAGACCATGCTAGGTCGTCGGTATTTCCTCGCGAATTGCTTGTCGGTCCACACCTTTAGACCGCCTGGTTTCTCATTAGGTACGTTTCACCTTCTCCGAACTTCGACCTCACTGTTGAATCCGCCTTTAGT